CTCTTCTTCATCCCCAGCACCTCCACCCCCCCTCCACGGCCCCCCAACCCCTGCTCACCTCCACCACGGCCTCCTTCATCACCTCCAGGTTCTTCCGGGGGGGCTCCCCGGTCTCGTAGAAGGCCAAGCGCTCCTCCACCTGCTCCCGCAGCTTGTCCCCGAACACGCTGGTGGGGACCTCTGCGGGAGGGGAAGAGAGGGGACAGGGTCAGCCCCCTCCTACACCCTGAGCCCCCCCAGCTCCCCCTGCGCCCCCCCCAGCTCTGCTCAGCCCAACGGAGTCACCATTCACACGGGTGTGAGATGCTGCTGACGAAAAATGGTCCCATCACGGCAGAGCGGCCCCGAGCCCGACCCCGGCTGTGCCCCCGAGAAGCGGTCAATGCACGAGGCGACAGTGCCCCTGTGGGCAGGTCTGTCCCACCCCCTGTGCCCCCCGTGCCCCCCAACCCACCCGAGAAGCAGTCGATGCGGGAGGCGATGGTGCACTTGTTGGCCAGGTACCGCGAGATGCGCCCCTTGTTCTTGGCGGCCGCTCTCCCGATGAAGGTGGAGTGGAAGATGAGCCCGTACTTGGGGGTGTTCCCGCGCGTCTTCAGAGCCCTGCCAGGGGCCGGGGGGCGTCAGGGACCCCCAGACGGAGCCCCCACCCGCCCCCTCCACTGGCAGCACCCGCTGTGCCCGTGGGACAGACCTTTTTGTCAGCCCCCCCGGGTGGGACAGCCCCCTCCCTTGGCCCCCCTGCAGCCCCGCTGACCTGGGGGAGCCCCGGGCTGGCCCCGCAGCCGCGGTGGTCGCTCAGACTGGGCCCGGCTGCTCACCCCCGCCAGCCCCGGCGCGTCACAGCCGCGGCCCCGGCCCCGCCATCACCGCGACCACCCGGCGGTACCTGAACAGGGCCTTCTCCGCCCCCAGGATCTGCACCGTCGACGCCGGGTACTTGGCCAGGTTCGTCAGGCTGCCGGCGTGGGAGATGAGCCGGGCACCCACCTGAGGGGCACCACAGGGGGTTATGGGCTGCCACAGCCCCACAGCCCACCCAGGGCACACACAGATCACCCAGGGCACACACACAGCTCCCCACAGAGCCCCTCTCCTCCCCTCCAGGCCACCCAGAGTCCCCCTCAGGTCACACAGCCCACCCCAGGGCACACAAAGCCCCCCCCCAGGCCAGGGATCAGCAGTGAGGTGTCAGCAGCTCTGCTCAGTGGATTGACAGATTCACTCTGACATCATCTCCGTGGCCGGGGGGGTCCCGGGGGGGTCCCAGGGACACTCACCACCTCCCCGATGAGGGCGGACAGGCTGGGGGCCACCTGGCTCATCTTGGAGCGCAGGTACTCCTGCAGCCCCCGGCGGTACTCGGACAGCGAGATCACGCGGCGTGAGAAGCTCTCGATGTTGATGAGGTCCAGGGGGGAGATGTCCATCCCTGGGGGGGGGGACAGGGTGAGCAACAGCACCGACCCCACAGCCATGACCCCCCCTGTGCCCCCCAGAGCCCCTCTCACCCATGGAGGAGCGCGAGGCCTCCAGGATGGCCTGGGCCTTGGCGCTGTCCATGACGATCTCCTCCAGCCCCTCCAGGCTCTCCTCGCTCAGCTCCCGCCGGTTCCCGATGAATTTGGCCACCCGGCAGTACATGGAGTTCTCGGGGACGATCTTGATCAGCTCGGGGAAGTGGTACCCGTACCACTCCCTGCGGGACAGGGAGGGGATCAGCACCCACACCCGGACCCATAGCTGCCCCATGTCCCTGTGTCCCCCCTTGGCTCCCCCATGTCCCTGTGTCCCCCCATGTTCTCCCCATGTCCCTGTGTCCCCCCGAGCCCCCCCAGTGCCCTGTGTCCCCCCATGGCCCCCCCCATGTCCCCGTGTCCCCCCGGGTCCCCGCCATGGCCCGTGGCCTGGCCGGTGGCCCCGGGGGCTGTGCTGTTGCTCCCCGGTCTGTACAGGCGGCCGGAGCAGCAGCTGCCTGCGGTAAGCGAGGGGAGACGGGACCCCCAGACCCCCCAAAACCCCCCCTCCCGCTCACCGGACACGCATGGAGAAGGTGTTGATGTCCTTGTCCAGCTGGTCCAGCAGGCTGATGGACTGGATGATCATGTTGTCCACACGGTGCACGTTGAACTTCACCTTGGCCCGGGAGTAGCTGTGGCCGAGCCCCAGCTGGGCCTTGGCCGCCGACTGCGCCGTGAGGCCCCGCACCAGGGCTGGGAAGTGCAGCCGGATCCCTGCGGGACAGCGGGGGGACGGGGGGGTCACCGGGGGGACGGGGGGGAGGGGGGGGGGGGCAGAGGGGTCACCAGGGGGACAGGGGGGTCAGGGGTCACACGATGTGGGAACTGAGCTATCACCATGTAGGACCTGGACATCACCACACAGGGAAAAGGGGCCACCATGGGGGGACAGGGAGGACACTGTGCAGAGGAGAGGAGTGTCACAGGTGTCACCACGTGGGGGACAGAGGGCTCATCACATGGCGACAGGGAGGGGACAGAGGTGTCACTGCGTGTGGGCCAGAACCAGGGCCAGCCCCCAACACACCCCCGATGGCCCCCCCAGCC